GCGGGCCTCCTCGGCGACCCTCCCGAGCTCGCGCGGGTCGGGGTGATTCTCCGCGACGCCCTGACCGCCCTGCGCGGGCGCGACGTCGACGCGGGGTGGGACGACCTCCTCCGCGGCCTCACGGAAGCCGTCGTGACGATGCGCGCGTGGGGGCCGCGGGGAAAGCGGACGCGCGACGGACCCACCCCCGGCCAGCGCGAGGGCCTCCCCCGCCAGGACGCCACGCGTCTCTACCTCGCGCTCTGCCAACGCATCACCACCGAGCTCGCCGTGGATGAGCGGCGACGACTGCTCGTCCTCGCCTGCACTAACGCCGTCGTCTCCGCGCACGACCTTAGCACCTTGACGACGGGCGCCGAGTGGGCGGGCTGCGTCGAGCTCGTCATGGGGATCTTGCAGCAGACGACTCAGGCGACTCTCAAGATTAGCGACCCCTTTGCTCGACAGAAAAAGTCCGCGGAAAACGTCTCGGAGGACGACACCATCAAGGTCCTTCCAAATTTACAATGGGAGCTCCCGGATTTGTACTGGACGGCACTCATTCTCATGGCAAAGTTATGCAATATGGAACCCATTTTAGATGAGAAGTATCCCTGGGCGTGGCGCGGCGAGAACGATGACTTTTATAGGTACCGGCAAAAGGAAAGTGCGGCACTGACAAAGGCCTTTTTTTCCGGACAACAAAAGGTTCCTTTTCAGAGGAATGGGCACACGGTGGATCTATCCAACATGACCGATTTGCGCTCCCATAGTGGCATTATGACATGGATCCATTTTCAGTGTATCCCAAGCAAGTACCGATACAAGAACTCATTTAAAAATGTCGGAAAACAACTTACAGAGCGCCTCCGGAAATACTCCAGATTTACAGAACTAAAGAAAATCTTACAAACGTCATCCTTTGGAAGTAATGAGGCTTCGCAGCTCTGTAAGATGATTTACTTGCATGTGGTGTGCCATGACACACCATCGAACTCCGAGGACGCCAAACATGCCTTCCGAAGCCTCGTCGCGCAGCAGCCGCTTTCCGTCTTGGAGGCGTTTTCCACACAACTCCTCTCTCGTGATGCGATGTGGGCACCAATTCTACTTGAATCCGGCATCGCCGATGCCCTGACGGAGCTCCCTATGGAAAACCATACCAGCATAGCGCGCATGCGAACACGACATGGGCTCATTGAAGGACCGCGCGATGCTCAGCGGTCTTTAGTTCAGAAGCATTCGCGCGAACCCCACTCGGCGACGCGTTCACCACCTTTTAAAATCTCTCCCGTTGCGGAGGCTATTCGAAAAACCAGCAACCGAGTTTCACTTTCGCAAACGAGCATCTCCGATGTTGCTCTTCCGTGTTCCATGACCTCTATTATTGATTTTATGCAGCACGCCTCGTGTCGTGAGTTAATATCATGGCTGAAAATCTGTCATCCTCAGTCCTCAACCAACCTAGGCGTGTTTGATGATACCGTGTATCCACTGATAGAAAAATGGCTGAGCGAGAACCCCAAGGAGCGGAACAAGGTGGGGATGATGGTGGCAACGTACACCTATCAAGAGCTGCAGCAGCTTGCATTGGAAGGGGTGAACCGAAAGCTTCTTGAGGAGGTCACCGAGGCAAAGGTGATCACGCTTCCTATTTGCGCTTCTACACGGCAGAATAGCTGCTCAAATGGGCATACAATGTACATTCACTTTAGCACCAACTGGCTGTGTAATCAGTGCGGGAAGACGACAGCCTACGGGGCCCTATCCTGTCGTTTGTGCGATTATGATTTATGCTATCAATGCAGTGAGGCATTCACTGGATGCGTGAAAGCAAACCCAACGGCAACTGTAGCAGAGCTGCTTTCGAGCTGGAACCGAACTTTAGCCAACGTGAAACATCACTTAAACGATGCTGAGAAACCATCCCTTTTGTTAAAAGAAAAATCTGACGCCGCGAAGTTGCTCTACACGCAGATTTCTATTCTTTCAATGTCTATTCCCGTAAGCAGCTTAGTGCGTGATAAGGACGGAATTCATGCAGGATCGTCGTGCACGACATGTCGATGCGAGATCGCTGTGCCTAATCGTTATATTCAAACTCCTTTTCAGGAGAACAATGAAGCGCCCTCCGAGAGAAGTGGAATTTCAAATAATGCATACTGGAAGCTTCTGTTGTTGTGCAGGGAGGAAGTTTCGCAGGATCCCAGTGTCACCCACGCCCTGATTGAGGCGGTAGAATCTTACGCGACAGATATCTTTTTATACGGTATAGAGGGCCTACCGCATAGGTTGCGTATGATAATGATCTCATTAGAGCGTTCTCTCCCGTTATCCTTAAAAGTTGAGATCACACGCTTTCTTTCCGTTGATTGTCGTCGCTATGCACTGTATCACATTCAAGAATCCCATATAATGTTGTCAGGAACTGTCAAGGCCGATGTTGATAGTAATGGTCTCCCATATAAGCTGACTGTTTCTCGGGGTGATCTGGATAATATCGTGACGAAGATTTCTGAATTTTTTATCAAAGAGTGTCCTTCTCTTCGAAACAAATTGGAGATTCAATTTGAGCGTGAAGAAGGTACTGGAACTGGCCCTACCCGAGAGTTTTATTCTGAACTCTCTGCGTTGTATCGAAACGCAAAATATCTGTGGTATATGCAAGATGAAGGGGTAACTTTAGGCTTTCCATCATGCAAAGCCCTATATTTAAAGGAATTTTATGTACTTGGTGTTGTTCTTTCGAGGGCATTTGTAGACGGTTTTACAATGGAAGTGCCCCTACTTCCACAGGTTTGGTCTCTTCTTCGAGCGTGTGATCAGCCAGGTATCGTTTCGGCGCTGAATAATATATTAAAATTCCTAGAGCCTGCCATGATGAGCTCGTACGATTATCTTTTAAAGGCCACCAAAGAAGAAATTGATGCCATGGAATTATACGATGAGAAAGATCAGCAGGTAAGAATTGATACCATTCAAACATACATATCACAAAGAATAGCGCAACATTTCGAAGTCGGTCGTCAAAACCTCCACGCGATGGCGGTGGGTTTGCTGAGCTCCATCGACCTGAGCTCGTTTGCAATTTTATCCGACGAGGAGCTCACCGCGCTTCTTTGTGGGGAGGATCTTGGAAAGGAAAAGGGAAGGTTGTTTTCAGAATCTGAGTTCCGCGCCGTCGTTATGGAGGCTCACGGCTACTCTGTGGGTGCAAAAGAGGTAGAAATGTTTATTTCTATTGTAGGCGCCGAATTTGATGCGACGCAGCAGGGCCTGTTTTTGGAATTTCTTACAGGAAGTGCGCGTTTACCCTTGAATGGCATAGTAGGGTTGGAGAGAAAGATAACAGTGGTAAAGAAGCCTTTTGAAAGTAAAGATGAGCAGACTCTGCCATCATGCAATACATGCTTTCTTTACTTCAAACTTCCACCGTACACCACCAGGGAAGTTATGCGAAAGCGCCTGTTGTATGCGATAACAGAGGGGCGTAAGAATTTTAGTCTTTCATGATGTGTATGTCTATGAAGAGTGGAAAGAAAGGCAACGAAACGACATTGCGGTGGAAGAAACGCTTAAGAAGGATAATTTTTTTTATCTACTAAATTATGCAATATATCTAATCATAATAATGTGTCTAATTTTTTAGGCAAACTCACAAGAGAAAAATTTGCTTGTTTAATTAAGCATCTGCATAGTTAACGAATTCACTGAATAAGACTTATCCTACCAAGAAAAGATGTCGATCAGGAGACACAAAATTTTAACTATATTCTTCAACTTCTCAATTGTCTTGGATAAATATGATAATTAGAATCGACTGATCGCAAGAAAAGGGAACTTAAAATTACCGAAATTTACAAAAAATATAGTGACAACTGAGCACCATGACGTCGATGAATTCAATGCGTTTGAGGGAACTCATTCGTTCTGTTCGAATGTGTAAAACACCCACTGAGGAGCGTGAGCTTATTAATCGAGAATCCGCATGGATTCGCAAAGAATTTAGGGAAGGGACACCGTACTTACGCACCCGCAACATGCTGAAATTACTATATGTTGGTTTGCTAGGCTATCCAACGGAGTTCGGCCAGCTTGAGGTGATCAACCTGCTTTCCCAGCCTGATTTTTCGGGAAGACGAATTGGCTATCTTGCTCTACAGATCATAATGGATGAGAACGATGAGGTTTTGACCTTATCGGAGAATAGAATGATCTCCGATATGGCGAATGGGAGTCCGCTTCTTCAGGCCGTCTCGCTCAATGCCGCGGCGAACGTGGCGAGTGCAGATATGTCGTGTGATATCTTCGAGAAGGTGAACCGCCTTTTGGATTCGAGTAATCTGTACATCCGGCGAAAGGCCTGTCTTGTGGCGCTTCGGATTGTGCGAAAGAATCCCACCTACGCCGAGCACTTTCTCGAGCGTTTGGTGGATATCTTCTCTCCGAGCCGTTTCGGCCATCTTCTCTGCTCTTTGGCGCTTATTAATGAGTGCTTGCAAAGTGAGGCGGGCGCGGTGTTTTTGCCGCGGTATCGCAAACTCGCCCCCGATGCGGTAAATGCGCTGAAGCGGTTGGTGCTTTCGATGCGCGTCACCGAACGCGATATTGGGGATATTTCCGATCCTTTTCTGCAGGTCCGATTGTTGGAATTTATGCGTATCATCGGCAAAGGCTCCCGCGAGGAGTCGGAAACCTTCAATGATATTCTTACCCAGATCATCACCAACACCGATTCCTCCCAGAGTGTGGGCTGCGCGATCGAATACGAGTGCGTTCGAACGATCATTTCGATCGAGAGCGATAAGGATCTTAGCGCGCTCGCCGTGAAGAGGGTCAGCGAATTTCTTTCCAACACGCAGAATAAGAATCTTTGTTTTGTGGCCTTAGAGGTATTGCTGAGCTACGCGCAGAAGGATCCGGAGCGGGTTTTACACCATCAGTCGACCATTTTGGACTGTTTAAAGGACGGTGACGTTTCGATTCGGCGTCGCGCGCTGGAGTTGACGGTGCAGTTGATCACCGCGGAGAACGTTCGGCTGCTGGTGCCGGATTTGCTTCTTTACATCGGCCTCTGCGCGGAGGAGATGCGCGAGGACGCTACGCTGCGCATTAGCCAAATTATCGAGGAGAAATACCCCACCGAGGAGTGGCGGATTGAGATGTCGATTAAGTTGTTGGGGCTGGGGCGGCAGCACGTCGCGGTCGGCTTCGCGATTCGCCTTATCGCGTTGATTTCGAATCAGCCCGGGGAGGTGCAGGCCCGCGTAGTACGGGCGCTCTGGGGGGAGGAGTCGATGGCCTTCGACGCCACGCATCAATCCCGCCGCGCGTTTATGCTCGTCGCGCTCTGGACCATCGGCGAGTACGCGGCGTTCCTCCTCCAGGGCGAGGTCGGGCTCACTTCGGAAAAAATCGTGGAATTGCTCGGCACGATTACCGTCAACTCGTCGGATCGTTTGATTAAACTTTACGGGGTGAACGCGCTGATGAAAATGGCGGCGCGTTACCCGGCGGTGAAGTCGACGGTGCTCGGTATCTTTTCAACCCTCATGGGAAGTCTGGATTGTGAGCTCCAACAACGCGCCTGTGAATACACGACGCTCCTGACGGAGTTCCCGGAGGAGGCGGCGTTTAGTTTTAGCCCCATGCCGCCTATTCGCTTTCAAAAATCCGTGGAGCTCTTCCGCGTCGCGGAGTTGAACGCGGGAGTGACGGAAACGACTTCGAATCAACTCAAGGCCGATCTCGATGATTTGTTTGGATTTTCCGATCAACCCTCCCCTCAACCTACTGTCATCTCTTCTGGTTCGCAAGATTTCATTTCTCCCTTTTCTTTACCTAAGGAAAAGGTATTCTCGTGCGCAAACTTTGTGGTGAGCCTTTCTGATTCCAAGGTGCAAGAACGTACTGCGATGGTAGAGTTGTCAATACAATCTACTTTGGGGGTTCGAATAGAGAATCTTTTAGTGCAGGCTGCGGTTCCAAAAAAGTTTAATGTTAGATTGGCGCCATTAGTTTCTTCATTTATTGAGCCTCACGGAAAATTTATCCAAAAAGCGGAAATCGACATCGCTGAAGAGATAAATAAACTTCCTGATGGTATACTACGGATTAAGATATCGTATTCGGTGGATGGGGAGCCGCGAGAAGGCGAATTTCAGATTTAAATGGTGCAAAATGGAAAATATCGAGCTACAGGTTATTTTTTGAATTTATTTGTGAGTTTCAATATAGTATTCTATGAATCTAATTTGGGATGCTTCACGAACATAATTTTTATGCAATTAGTTCCCTTCTAGAGAATTTAAATGAACAAGAGGAATTAAAATACATAGCAAGGATTTCTCATCTGAAGCAATAAGTGTACTGAGCTTAATCTCAAAAATTGATACTTATTTTAGTTTGAAACATTAAAACTGTAGTTTTGTATGCTTGCTCGGCATTGGTAAGTAGCAGTATTGGAATATATATATATATATATATATATATATATATACTCCTAGAATATAATTTTATTTGTCGATATATTATGAATTCGTTCTAGATCAAATGAGCATTTTTATAATATTCGGTTGATCCTGTAATCCTTCTTTTATATTAGTGTAGATTGAATATATTTTAAAAGAAACAAGCCGGCAGACGATCTACCAAATAAACCACAAAAAAAGATTTTCGAACGGACCGATGTCAGGAGAGAACCAAAATACTTCAAATCAGGAAAATGCAGCCGTCGAAGAGTACAATTACGATCGCGATCTCTACCGCTGCCCGATCTCCTGGCCCTTCACCTCGGACAAGCCTAAGATGACCAAAAAAGTGTACTCTCTCATTCGCAAAGCCGTCAAGGAGAACAAAAAAGGGATCATCAAAGGCATCAAGGATGTCACTAAGTCCATCCGAAAAGGCCATAAAGGCATTCTGGTCCTCGGCGCGGACGCCTCCCCGTACGACGTGATCTCGCACTTTCCTATGATGGCGGAGGAGGCGAAGATTCCGTATGTGTGGGTGCCCTCCCGCCAGGATTTGGGCGTCTCCACGCAGTGCAAGCGCGCCACCTCCGTCGTGCTCCTTAAACCTAATGAATCCTTTAAGGCGAGCTACGATAAAGTCGCCCTCGCGATTGAGGATCTCCTCACTAGCGAGGAATCAGCTTGATTAGTAAGGTTAAGGGACTCCCTGTTTTTATTTTGGGGTTTGTTTTCATCCGTTTAATTATTTGTGTGTGAAGGGGAATGATGGGTTTTGACTATTTCAGTTGCAGATTAGGTTTGATATATACATTTCATAATGACAACTTTGAGAGGTTTTAATAAATAAAAAAGTCTTTAAATGACTACTGCTATATTGAATTTGTCCAAGTTGCAGTTTATAGTAGTGTAGGTGAATAAATAATATGGAAAGAGCAACGGATCCATTTTCTGCATCACCTTTCAAAGGGGAAAGGGTTCAGAAAAATCGTATTTCGTATTTCTCTATCCATCTTTTGAGTTTTTAAACCGAAACAAAAAGTAATTTTGCTAGCTGGCCTTTCTGTGTTTGAATTTTAAAATACAATGTGGTAATACTTTTTTGACCTATCAGACATTTTACACATTTAAAATCGTATATCTTTATAGATCGATAGAGTTTCATGATCACCTTCAGATTCCTATCTTGATGCATTCTCGTATTGTTCTTAGCGCCCGTCCACATCGGAGGTGGTACCTGCCCGGGAATATCCTACGCTGCGAGGCTCGCCTCGAGCACGAAACCCCCCGCTCTTCGGTACAGCAGCCTGCCGCTTTACGGCAAACCGGGGATCAATATCGATTGTTTCCAATCCAGAACGACTCCTTGTTGGATTTTACAGGTGATACCGAGTGGATGCTGGATTCACTGAAGGTGAGCGTGAAGGGATATTGCGCCTTGGATCCCGAATGGTTTTCCGCTGAAGGGCTTCATTCCAACACGGACGCACCGCCGCACTCATCGATTAACGCATCACCATCTTCAGTGCAGAACCCCAACGACGCACCACCTCATCCGTCTATTCTCTGGAGAGTTCTCTCCATGGTAAATGGAGGCTCCACGGATGCAATGAAAAGTTCTTTATCTCTACAGTACCCCCTGTTTGAATCACCAGTGTGGACGATTGCGCAATCGATTCCTTTAAATCCTGGCAAACACCTTAGCTTTTCCTTTTCAATGAGTCTTCCCGATGAGCTACCGCCATCTGTTAGTGGAATTCATGCTAAAATAGCGTACCTGATTTCCATAATCGCCAACTATCACTCTGAAAGCCCCAATAATCACCAAACCAATAGTACCACAACGGTTGAGATTCCCATCCATGTTTTCTCCATAGCGGCGAGCATTTCACCGATTTTTATCAAATCCATCTTTCCTCTTTCCAAGAATCATCCACTTGTGATGAATAATTACAGTTTTAGTTTTTGCCTTTCAATTTCAACTCCATCCTCTTGTAATACGACTACCGAAGGATTGAATTCCCACCAGAGATTAGAAAGCCCTCCGAGTTCTAAAGAGGTACTCTATTGGTATAATATGAAGTCCGACAATGAGGCCCTTACGGCAAAACCAAGAAGTTTAAGCAAGTTTAACTTCACACCTCCTAACAGGGATCACGCACCTGTTCAGCTTATTTTGCATTCCTCAAAGGTGGCAATCGGTTCTTCTTTGATTGGCGTGTTTAACCATAATGGATTAGAAAGAGAAAATACATCACTGACCGAGGAATTTACTTTAGTTCCTCTATCGGCTTGCGTTTCGCTTGAAAGTTTGGAATGCGGTAACGAATATCGGATTCGACGAGGAAAGCGATTCAAAAAAGCGTATGGTTTAGATAACTTAGCCATTATCGGTTCCCATACAGTTTGTGAAGAGAGACTTATTTTGTTCGACTCTCCAAGCACGCCTTTTACGTTTCATTTAACCACAGAAAACATTTCAAGCGCGAGTTTTTTCACTGATATCGTCTCCATCATGTGGCATATCCGTGTAAGAGTATTATGGGGTATTCACAATGGTATAGACACAATAAAGGCGGAAAACAGCGAAGTAGTAGAAGCTGTAATTCCTATTATTCTCGAGCCACCACCACTACCTCAGGAACATTGCTCTAAGCTTGCAGTGTAAGGTGAAAATCTGACGTTTTTTTTTGTTATTGTTGCTTATATTTGTTGTATATAAACCAACACTTTTCTTTGATTCAGTCAATCCATTGTTTTTTTTATTGTTTTTTTTCTGTGGATGGTTTTGGTTATGCAGAGTCAAATATTATCTCTGTATTTCCATCTTTTTTTTGATTACTCTGTTTAGATGAATGAGATACCTTTTGTAGTTTCACAGCGCAACCGCACTGTTCAACAAGTTCGATATTGCGGCGATACAATCGCGGTTTTAAAAGACGGCTCTCCGTGCAAAGGCCTTCTACCTTTTCCCTTGGAGCGCTATGAACTAGAACCCTTGGAGCTTTCCAAGAGCGAACCCACAACCGTGACGTTGAAACCGCATCCATGGAAGTTTCAGCTCAAATGCGTTATTGCGATGAATCCTCTCGCGGAGCGTCATTGGTTCTTTCTTTCCGCACCCCGGGATCACAATCTAAAGGACGCGAGCCTATCATTTAGCCAAAGGAACTTGACAACGCTGCGCGGCGACTTCGAAGGGCTTTTAGAGTCGTGTTTAAATATGGGGCCGAGGGCCTATCGACTCTTTTTGATGAGCGAGCCCCGCCTAACGGAGGGGGTCCCTGCAGGTTGCTTTCGGCTGCCAAAGGGGGATACCGCCCCGGGTGCGACCGCGTTGCCGCATGAGCGCGTTTGGTTTGCCGACCTCTCAGGTGAAATCGCGACGATGATTTGGGAGTTTATTCACGACTTTTTCATCAATAATTTGGTAGATCCGACGGTGGTAGTATGGCCGCCCGGCTTGCCATTTCCAGTGAACGCCCACGCATCGGTCGATGCGCTTCGCCGGGCGGAGCATGAGATGCTTTTGCTCCCACCGCGGCGCCTTCTTCACATCGAGCGGCGACTCCACGACTGGGAGACGGCCGAGGATTTGGTAAACCCCGTCCCGACCGCCCGAACCAACTGCGAGCCGCCGCGAATGATTTCAAATCCCCATCGGGCGCTCAAAAAAGGCCCTTCGCCACTCATTGAGGGCGCGACGATGCACTTGGTTAGCGGGACTTATGATTATTTTCACTACCGCTCGGATGGCTTCGTCGATGATGGATGGGGTTGTGCGTACCGCAGCCTGCAAACGATTCTTTCTTGGTTTCTCCACGAAGGCTACCTTGGGCTGATGGTTCCATCCATCCAATCTCTGCAAAAAATCATAGCCGTTGTGGATCCGGATAAAGCTCGCAAACCTGATTTTGTCGGATCGAAGGAATGGATCGGTTCTATCGAGATTATGTTGACCTTGGGGCACTTAATGCCCGGGCTCGAATGCACAATTAAACATTTAAAAAGTGGCTCAGAGTTGGATACTGATCCTTCCCTGCAATTTACTTTGCAAGAGCATTTCAAGCAAGAGCGGTCTCCGCCCATCATGATTGGTGGCAGTGGATATGCACAGACAATTTTAGGCATCTATGTGGATCTCAACACAGCTGAGGCGCTTTATCTTATCTTGGATCCACACTATTCTGCAAATCCTACAGATCTTAAGACTGTCGTTAGTAAAGGTTATATCGGATGGAAACAAGCAAAGAAGTTTTTCAACTCTAACACTTGGTATAATATTTGCATTCCGCGTGTGGATCTTTACGATCCGCGATGACGCTATAATCCAATCACCAGAAAAGAAACTCATTCCATTAAAAAAGAATTAGTTCTAAAGTCACCCCACTCTTGACTTTACGCGATATATTTAGCACTATAGTGGTCAGCTAATGAAGTTCCTACCTTTACTGTATTCTCTACTTTCTTTTGGTGTTTCTTCTCAAGGATACAATTAATTTTGTGGCTAACTAGTTTGCATTAGATCCTTTTGGGGTGTCTTCCCAGCTATAGTCTAGAAGAATTTTATTCAAATCTAAATTAAATATGCTTCGTCGTGTCGTGGCACGCACAATACCATCGGCCACCGTTCCGTTAGTATCTAGCTTACGAAGCTACAATTTGTTCCTTTTTAAAAACCCCGAACGGAGACCCCAACTTACCCCTGAAGAAGCTGCCAAGGTGAAGATTAACTACGCGGAATGGCCACAAGAGTTTCGCGATTACGATCCGGATGATCCGTACAAGAACTCACCAGAAATTATCGAGGGACTCTCCAGTTGGCAGCTCTTTCTTTGGGGAGCGGAGGTTTCCTTTATTTATCAATTCTACGAATGCATATACCCGAAGAGTATTTAATGCAATCGTGGTGTTTATCTGACGAATCAGACCTTTGAGAAGTATAACCCACCTTTACGCGCTTGGGTTGGTCAATGTCATTAATGAAGCATGGTTTCTTTTTTGCATTTGTATCTTAAATTTATAGGAATATACTAGTATGGCTCCAATTTAGAGGAGTATAAGCTGAGATTATTGTGTAAGATAACAATAGTATGATTATTGTTCGTGAAAAACGTTCGCTGATGCTATCGAAAACAACATAGCCAAATTCAGAAAGCACTGTAGTAAATTCTTAACTCTTTCTGAAGAGGACACCTATCCACAAGTCTGTCATGTCTATCTTCAATGTGGTCTCACACTTCACCTTGGGGTTTCCATTTATTTTTTTTCTCCTCCAACTCCATAGCACACGACTAAGTAAGCACCCCATCCTTGAATAACACGTTTCAACCCAATCAACCCCAGCGGCAGTCGATTCCCCTGTGGCATCTATTCGGCGCTTGTGACCCATCCCCATTTCCCCCTTGCCCATCACCGGGAACCGACCCGCGTGACAACACCCCCAAAGGGCGGGATGCGGCGCTACGTGAGGGCCGCACTTCACACGGCGGGCCCGCTTCTGTGTCACATCGCGCACTCCCCTCAACGGGCCAACCGACGGCACGCAGCTA